ATTTTAATTTAGTTGGAAGAACTGAGATGGACCAATAGGTCCCATGTTGTCTCAAAACATTGTTATCTTAAAACATTCTTATACTCAGATCACAAAAATATTTTCATATCAGGGATTTAGAATTTCCAAGACTGAGATATCCCTTGTACTTAACTTTGTCAAACCAAAGGGTTTAAATTGACACACCTGTTGTGTGGTTTGATTTATTGCATTGTCAAAAAAAAGGAAGTGGATGAATAGTTTGAAACTTCAGAAGATCTTTCCACAGATTATGTAGCTTCTTCAAATAAAATATCTTCATATCTGATGTTTCTATGAATTTATAGCTTTGAAATTTTGTAAAAAGATTTTGTGTGTGGTATATGATTTTCTTTAAGAAACAATTAGAAATTATTCCCTTTTTTGTATATTTTAATATCTGACTTTTATGTCTTCCTATGTTTTTTTAAACTTTTCAACATAGTTTTATTAAATTGTACATTTGATCTTTGTTTTGATTTGAAAAATAATGCATGCAGTTTCACTGTGTTTTTGATCACTGCTATATAATAAAAGTAATATTTTACCATTCCAAAATTATAAGCAAGCCAATTTTTTCAAATTGTTAATGAGAAGGTTTTATTTAATATTTGTAATATGTTCATTTATATATATTTTTTCTATTACATTTCTTCATGATGATTTTCTTTGCCCATTCAACTACTTACATAGGTTGATAAGGCATAAAGTAAACAAGGCTTATCATAAGTACAGTAGTACTTTTAGTAGAAATGGGGTGGATATACATTACATGCAATACAAGCTATTAACTCATATACACCTTTAACAACCTAATGATACATCTTCAAAAGTATTTGAGAAACACTCTTAGGTGATAAACAAACCACATACAAAATTACAAGTCATAGAACCACTTGAGAAAGTCAGCAGAGCAGATACAAAAAAATTCACAAAACCACAAATTCCATTGCAGTCTTCCCTCAAATGGTCTTGCACAAACCTATCTCGATCTACTTTCTGCCCCTTAAACATTACTAAAAAAATTTAATGCTCAGCACACCAGTCTATATACTCCACAAATTTTGCACCACTTTTGAACATGTATGTAGCATGTAACCACCCTCTACCAATAGTATTGCACCACCTGTATTGGTGCAGCTAGTTCTCTCTGATTCTCACACTCAATCCTTACTTTCTCGACTGGCTCAACATCATTTAGACATGTTTTTTGCATGTGGATACCATTTACGATTGTGCTTATTTACCATTTCATTTTTTTTTTCTCAACAGTTTTCTTTACTGTGTTTTCATTCAATTGTTTCAGTTTTTAGTTTTGCATTTTATTGTTACTGATTTATATGGTAACTTAGAAGAACTTCATGATTCAATGTATTTACATTGGAAGTTCCCATTACATTAAACATTGCTTCTGGTATGACTACCTAGGCATCGGGTCCAACTTTATCTGCTGAGGGGGTATAGGTCTTAATTCACAGGCAGCTAGATTCCTACGATCAGCCAACGATTTCTTCTCATTCTAAACCTGATAATGTTTCTGAGGTTGAATACAATCAAGAAGAAGAAAATTGGATTCCCTTTTTTTTTGGCATCTTCTTATATTTGGTCTGTCACACTCTACACCTCTATCAGGTATGTGGTATATTATGTTTTATTTTCCTTCTACCTTACGGACATCATCGATTGGATATTTATGCTATTAATGTTACCAGAATCCTCTTATGTTGTCCTATATCCAGTCTGGTCATTGATCTGTTGCCTGTGAAGGCCATTTGGCTTTCACACTCATTTCTTTACCTTCCACCTCCTATCTGTACTTCCATCCTGATCCTGATCAGCTTTTTTTGTCAGGCTTGCTCCCTAAGGTGTTATGTGGTATGTAATGCCTCCTTTTGGGATTCACATTCTTAATCTTTTATTCCCTGGAACCCTTCTGTTTCCCGTGATCTATCCCTTGTAACATTAACTGGTTTGGTTTATCGACTCCTTAGGCTGGCGTATTCAGACTCCTCAGTGTTTCTTCTCATCAAATTTGTCATATCACCATGTCTTTGGCTGCTAGTCTTTGCTGTTTGTTGGAAGAAATTGTACAGACTGAAATGTAGACAACTCCCTATTCCTTCGTCACTCATTTTTTGCATTATCTGGCTGTATCTTTTGCAGGTGGATATCGTCTCCCTCATGTGGTGATTCTACAAATGTCTGTTCACCTGTGACTTGAGTATGTCTTTTTACAACATTTCATTAATGTTTTCTTTTCAAGGACCCTCTTTCACTGCTACTAATATTACTCCACTCTGTGGCAAATTGCCTAGTCAGTTGTGCTTTCACTTAAACCTGCACTATATACTGGTAGAGCTATAATGCTCACTGTAATGATGGGGTGTTCCACCAAACCACTAGTGGCATGCCTAGTGTTATATATAGTTTAACTCAGTGGTGGACTATCATGAGTAAATCAAAATGGGATTGCTGCCAACCCTTTGATTGCATATATTGGGGACAGCCTGCTTTTCAAAATAGCAAATCATGGACACCCATTGCACTTTCTCTAGTGTGATGTTCCTCCGGATTCCCCGCTACTTTTTCTTCCCTTCCTTTTTTTCTCCATGTGGAGCATGGGAGTCCTTACCACTTATCAGTTCCTAGTCACTGGGGCGGTGGACCAAGGAGGATTTATTCTGAGTATGAAGTAGAAATGTACCTTGCTGTACTTGGCTAGAGCCGGACCAGCCTATGCAGGATCCTCCTCGTAATACCAGGTTCAGGATGGCACTGCCCTATTCCGACAGTTGCATTTGGGGGACTTCATCTGCCTTGTATTTCCAGGTGAAAGATGTGTCTTCCCTGCATTTACAGTCGGGTGAGTTACGATTTTTACTCTTAATACCAGTTACAGGTATTACTCTGTTCTTATGGTTGAGTTGAGGCAACGACACAACCCCGTAATGCTCATTTCAGTTTGTTGTACTTCTTGCTTCTATGGTGGTTTTGGGAGTTTGTCCAGTTTTTTTTCCGAATTCTAACTTCCTTTTCGTAATTCTAGTTGCTTGATGTACGACACTATTTACTTATGGTTGGAGTTGCACATCCTTTTTTTCCACCTGTGTCAGGTTCAATTCCTTCTTACAGGGCAAAGAGCATACCTGTTCCAGAAGTACTGCAGTGCCCTGCATGTGTGCTTTGGTTTTGTCTCTGAGCACACCAGTTATTTCTAGGTGTTCTCTTTCTGCTTGTTTTCACTGTTAGGCATCTATACCAGCCCCTCCACCTATTTCAGTGTGGGATTCTAGCTTTCTGTGAGAGGAGAAAACTGTATTGGAAGTTAACATTTTCTTACACTGAAAATTTATTTTTGATTGGTACTTATCTCCTCTCACGCACTTCCCACTCTTCCTCCCCACTACCAGTGTTCTTCATTTTAGATCCTGCCAATTCTTGAAAATGAAGATTAAGTGGGAGCTAGCTGTAGCAATAGAGGAGGTGCAATAGTATTAATGGAGGGTGGTCACATATTCAAAAGTGGTGCAATATTTGTAGGGCATATGGACTGATGCATTTAGCATTAACATTTTTTAGCAATGCTCAGGAGCAGAAAGATCGAGATAGCGTTGTGTGAGTAGAGGTAAGTACTTGTCAAAAAGTGTAAGAAAATGTGAACATTCTCAATCTCACTGACTGACTGACATTGTTGAACACTTCTAGCTGTGTAACGAATAAACTTACCATAGTTATAAGTGCACCAAATAAAACAGTAGCACAGGAATCACGTGCTAGTGCTAGTGTTTTTCTATACTAAACATCACCAAAAAGAAGAGCTGTTTGATAAAAATCAGGCAATACCTTGAACAGGGATGCCATTTTAAAATACATATGTCTGCGTGTTCATTCTGTATACAGAGTAAGTGTAGGAGCCAACTGATGAGTCCCACTGCTATACGAAAAAGGATGAAAGGTATTCCTCTCAAGGTATACCTATTGGTTTACAAGACTTTAAATCCATTTCCCTGAGTTAACTAATGCTGGAGTAAACACAGACTGATAATTACATGTAACTGTGCAGTGTTGTAATACTTATCAGTGTTCTTGCATGTAAACAAACCTGTTTCTTTCATAAATGTTAACCTGCATTACCAGATTTACCTACATGAAATTCTAGCTGTTGCCTGAACTAGATGAAGTAGTTAATTAAATTAATTAACTAATTTATTAACCCTTAGTATATAATATTATAGTGCACTCCCGCACTGATGATATACATATAGGATATTAACACGAGTGTATGATATGAAAGATCATGTCACCTTGTATGTAAATGGTGCATGAACATATGGAAAAAATATTTTAAAGGAATTGAAAGTGTAGGAACGGGTGCACCAAAAAGTAAGGAAACAAGGTAGGAATGGGCATGGTGTAATAAAACCTCACAAAGGGGCATGTCCAACATCTGGTTCATGCCTACTTCATTTTTCTGTGCTCATGATATTATACAACTTAATGGTACATATAAAAGTGTGTCTGTGATTCTCTACTTTTGTATAGACAGCAACGAATCCATGATGTCGATACACAGAATTATCTTAGGATTTTGTATCTTTGTATTTTAATCCATGATTCTTCTACTTTTGTATAGACAGTAATGAATTCATGATGCTGATACACAGAAACCTCTTAAGATATTTTACCCTTGTATTTTAATCCATCTATATAGTTAATGTTGCCTTCTCATGCAATTGCAAAAGGAGGGACAAGTTATAAAGAAGAAAAAAAACATGTTATGGTTCCATACGAATATTTGATTCTTCTGGTGTCGTATAAACAGACTTTACAGTACCTGTATTGCCTTCAATAATTCAATTCACGGAAACCTCTAGTCATTGTATGATAAGCATAACTAACTTTGATAAATGTAGTCCACCTGTCTTATTGTATGCAGGATAGAAAGAATAAACGAAGTAGGCTTGGACTGGATGTTGGACACACATCCTTGTGAGGTTGTACATTTTTATCACATACTGCCCATTCTTACCTTGCTTCCTCACTTTTTGGTGCACTCATTCTTACACTTTCAATTTTTTTTAAATATTTTTTCCACTTGTTAAATATGGAGGCTTTGTTGATTAAAAGCAAATGATTTGATTAAGCCTATAGCATCTTGTTGTAACATTTCTTTTCCTATCAAATTACAATATCCTAATTCAAATGAAGTGTAAAATGATAAAGCAACCTTTTTGCAAGTTTTAAAAAGCAATCAGGACTATAATTGTAGTATAAGTCGTTCACAAACATTTTTTCGTCAAGCAGAATATCACTGAGTTAAGCTTTTATCACTGATCTAATCTCTATGCGAATTTCCACTGAACTGGAAACCATATCAGTAAATATATAGTAGAAAAGAACATGTTTACCTCACTAGCTTGTGATTTCTCAATGCTGAAATATGATATTTGAGGTTGAGAAACAGTGGTTGGCTGAAAATCAATAAAGCTACATTTTCTTTCAAGTTACAAGGTAAAATTAGTGTTATTTTGTTCAAAACTATTATGACATTCCTCTTAGAGGGCTATGTGTGACTTATTATACTAACAAAAAACACCAAATAGCTTACAGAAAGCCAGCAAAGATGAGGGATTTGCTTTAGACATGACAACCTTATAATGAAGTCTTTTGGAATGGAAACCGTGCTGCAAGACTATTATTGTCAAGGTGCATGATTGTCAGGTAGAGCATGACTGTTTGTGGTGACTTGGACTGTATTGATGTGCACTCGTTTTTTGTATTACTTTATTTCACTGGTCAGATCAAGAATCTTTTTTATTTATTTTTTGTAGGTAAAACTAGGCGTTTATATAAGTTACTTCCGAGCCATTGGTGTCTCATGGGTTGTACTAGTACTTATCACATACATTGGTCAACAAGCCTTCTCTGTTGGTTCCAACATATGGCTGAGTGCATGGAGTAATGATGACCCATTACCCGATGGGTCTCAAGATGTGCAACAAACAAATCTGAGATTGGGTGTATATGGAGCTCTTGGTGCTGGGCAGGGTAAATATTGTCTCTCTTGGGTACAATATGGTACTAATACAAATATTAAGAAACCAGTTTTGTTGATCACAACTTTATTAAGTTCTTGAATACCACCTAAGGCATATGTGATATATATTAGTAATTTTTTATAGCTGTTTCCAAGTGATTTTTTAAAGCCATAGAATGATAGGGTTAAACTGAAAGCTGCATACTGCATATTGTCTATTTTTGTCTTTTCTAGATTAGATTCTTCAATTTTATATATAAACCTTAAATAAATCACTAGTTATGTATAAGAAACTTAGTCATCTTGTTCATAATTCAAAATTATTGGCTAAGGTTAGAAAGAAAGTTAACTATGTATTCAAGTTCCAGAAAATAATGCATAATTTTATTTAAAAAGGGAAAATGAAATTCATTTACATTTTTCTGACAGCCATCCAAGACTTAAATTTTCAATTAGTTAATGTCTTATGTGTATCAGCCTTGTGAGTGATTTTCAAAATAAGTTTCTTTGCGTACACTCTTAAACTGATTTATAACGTATTTATATGTAGAAAGATAACAGGAATCTTCTAATTTTGAAGACTTTTATTTTCAGAACATTCTAAAACTTGTCTTTTAGGTTTTTCTTTGAATGCTTAATGCTCTAAACTAGTTTTCAATTCAATTATTCCACCAGAATGTCTTTAGAAAATTCTCTCCCTCTTTGTCCACCAATACTTAGTGATTCTTCACTTCCAGTTCTTTTAATCTTCTGTACTTGGGTATTTTATAGATTAAAATTAGACCTCTTATTACCTACCATTAATTTCAAAGCAAATGAGTGAGAAAATGTATGATTATTATTATTATATATATTACCCAAACACTTATCTTGTGCTCATTCAGTGCTCCAGCAAAAAAAGAGCAAGGGAACCTCAGAAAAATAGTTATTTGAAAAATAAAGAATAGTATATATACATTAACTTTATTTATGTGATTTTTATTTTGAACTTGGTTTGTTGATATTACAAATTGTGTTGGAGGTAAAAAAAATCTATTTGACCCACCTGATATTTGTAGAATTAACAATCAGTGTTTATACAGGTAGACAGTTGTCAGTTATCTCAATCTTTTTTCAGTGATCGTCACCTCTGAGCATTATGTATACCTGCCTGTGTGTCTTTAATTAGATGTACTGAAATGTTTTATAAATTAGTTCTAAGTTTTCAAAACACCTACTGCAGAGAAAAAAGATTTATTGTCATTTATGTCTTGTATTTTGTACTTATAAGCTTTAAGCTCTACTGATGTGAAGTGGATGTGTGTGTGCTGTTGCTATAGGTAAATTTTGTGTTAAAAATCTGACTTGTTTGAATGCCTGCATGCTCCATTCTTGTTCACAATGTATGTTGTTTTGTATTTTACCTTTTAAAATTGACATATGCAAAATAAGATTATTTGTTCTTTTTCTGATAGCTGTGTTTGTTTTACTGGGAACCTTTGCACTCTCTTTTGGATCAATGAAAGCCTCCAACTTGCTTCACAAAGAGATTCTACATCACATTTTACGTTCACCAATGTGTTTCTTTGACACTACTCCCATTGGGAGAATAATGAATCGTTTTTCAAAGGACATTGATGTTTTGGATACAACAGTACCCACGAACTTAAGAAGCTTCATGACTACGTTGCTTCAAGTTATCGCCATTCTCTTTGTCATTTCTATGGAGACACCCATCTTTCTTGCAGTCATCGTACCCATAGCTATTCTCTATTATTTTATACAGGTAGAACATTATAAAGTTATCATGTCATAATATTTATCTTTATTTTGTACAGTTTTCACATTTCTATTCATGATCATATAAATCTTTGTCTCAATAAGAGGAGATGATTAATAATACACCGAGAACCCAATATGAATACAACAAAGGAAGAATGGTTCTCCCTGGGCAGTAAAAATACATACAAAGGTTGATGTGACATTCTGAGCATTATTATTTTAGTACCTACCCATTTATTGTGAAACTTAACAGCATTTGGTTGGTTTTCTTGACTGTTTGTATTTTTTAATTTGACAATAAATTAGATATAGAAAAACTTAGTTTTTTAAACATATGGAGCAGAGCATGGCCCATGGTTAAGGTGCCAGGCTATGGATCTGAGAACCTGTGATTTGTACCTTACTAAACCTTAAGAGTGATGGTAAACTTTCACTATTCAATTTTCAGCATTCGTGTTCAACAAAACATATATTAAGTTTAGATCCACTGTTTGGAAACAACAACAAATTTATATGGATACAAGTTTCGTCACTTTTGTGTGTCTATTTCAGTTCAACTTTTAATTGTGAAAGAAATGCACCTACAACTTATTTTTTAATGGAAGTTCTAAGTTGCTTTAGGGCATATAACATCAAAAAAGGGTTCAGCTTAAACTTACCTTCAGAAGTGTTGAAGTTTGGCAACCTTTGAATTAGTGAACTTTCCACAGTTCTTTGTTTTAAAACATAGTTTTAAGTTTTATGTATTATTTTGACTGATTTCCTGTTGATTTTATGATCAAGATTGTTCATGAATAGAAAAATAGTTTTATTTGTTTGACAATTTTTAACATCCTTTTTATGTTCTGAGGGTCTGGTATCTCAGTTTGTACCTATTTCACCAAAACAGATTTTTCCATGCTTGACAGGGTACTATATAGACACTACACTTTTTATCTTGAGGTGCAGACTTGTTCAAGGGTAAGAAAATTTTAATGGTGTTGGAATATATTTATAAACAACTTTTAAATTGTTATTTTTCATATCTTTCTCAAAAGTCACAAAAGAGAACTGTAGTTGATGCTAAGTATTTCTGTTTTCGCATGTAACTGATGCTTGTTGCTGGATGCTGTTTCTAAAAAATATCTTCCTTGTCTTTTGAAGAGTGTTTTTTTGTACAAAGCCTATAGGGTACTGTAACCATTTGAAAATTGTATAAATATATTTATTAATTTTTTCATCAAGGTTTGTATGGTTGCATATTCTGTAAGCTCTTAATAAAATTGAAGTTGTAATTGATGTTTGAACCATTTTATGGTGGCATAAGAAATTGAACATAGCTTAAAGGGCTTGTTGTTTTTATAGATAGAAAAACAGGTCATGTTTCTGTTCTAGCTATGGGAATGTCTGAAAATGGGAGAGAATTGTGGGTTAAATTTGTTGTTGTTTTCTAGTAGTGGATCTTGGATCTAAACTTTATTTTAGATTACATGGTACTGTGTGTTTACCTACTGTTGAAATGTATGTTAGTTTGAATTTTAGTCTTAACTGCTCATAAATATAATGCTAAGTTACCTGAATGAAATTATATTGAGTTTAAAATAACTGTAGCATGCTAAAAGCGATTATAATTTTGTTCTGGTAAGATAGCCTACTAAATAGAGCAAAGCTACATTTTCTGCACAATTTCTGTAGAAGATGTAACTGCAGAATATTAGTTATATGTTTGTGCTTTATTCAAACTAAAAAAGAAAAAAAGTCCTCTTTTGGAATAGCTTTAGGATGTAACATTTCTGTGCAGTTTATTGGAATATACTTAAGTGTCTTGTTTTATATTGTTGCTTAAACCTGAACAGATGTGTCAGCATCAAGCCGGTGAAAGCATCCAATAATATTTATGCCTCTTTGGCTGAAAATTAATCCAAACCATGTTATTATCTACCTTTTATAAATAGACCAGAAGTTCTGTGAAGCATTGTCATTTGTTTTGAAACAAAATTCAGATCTACAAGTTGTTTTTGAGACCAATTTTCCATCGTTTTCTTGTGAAGTCTAACAATTTATTTACATCAATTGTAAAACAAAGATGGTGAGTGGAAAGAGGCCACTGAAACTTTTTACTCTGAGCAAGCAGTGAGTCTCTTCATTTAGTTAGATAAAGAAGGGAGTAATGATGATGGTGATTCTGATCTTGAATTTGACTTTGGAAGAGACTCTAGTGATGAAAGTGATTCAAAACAGTCATTGAGACCCAGTTCCAGTGCTTCTCAATCAGCTGATCAAAGGGGGGTCATCACCTCAACCAGGACCTAGTGATACAAAGAGGTCACAGAAGCAAGCTAGAACTGATCTACTTCCTAGATCTCCAGAGCTAGAGATAATGATTGGGCTGAGATAGATCTTCAAGATAGGTCAGCCACAAGTAATGACTTTGACTGTTTCAGAACTCTGTTTACAGAAGATGTAAGTAATGCTCTCATCACTGCTATCAATGAATATGCCAAAGCACAAGTTCAGAGTTGGTCGAGGTATTTGAACTGGACTCCCTTTACCCCCTATGAGCTGTTGAAGCTTCTTGTGATGACAATGTCAATGGGCATCGACAAACAACCTAGCACCATCCACCCGTCTATCTACACACCCTTCTATTACTAAATGTCCAACAGGGAGAGGTTTGAGGCTATTTACGTAACAATGCTTCATGTGGGTATCCCTAATGCTAATGGGCAAATCAAAATTAAGAAAATTTAAATTTTATAATTATTAGGAAATCATGAAAATAATTGTGGCAGAACATGCAAAAAAATATTAGTTTAAAAAGTTAAGACTGTTTAGCCTGCTACTGTTTATGAGATTGTGGTTGTATTCATTGATTTTAACTAAATTCACTATTAAGCAACCTTTATAGTTCTATTAACTAGAATACATGGACATGGAGTTACTGTTTCTGTTCTGCTGTTCTTCTTGTACTGGTGACATCAATAATGTATGTACTTCAAAATTGTGACATTGTTGCAGTATTTTTTTTAAGAGTTGATTATCTATGTTTCAGAAATTCTACATTTGTACATCCCGACAGCTGAAGAGATTGGAGTCAATCACGCGTTCTCCAATCTTTTCCCACTTTTCTGAAACTCTGTCAGGGTTAAATACTATAAGAGCTTACAGGATGCAAGAACGATTCATTGAAGAGTCCAACAAACGTGTGGATGTTAACCAAGCATGTTACTATCCAAGTACCGTATCAAACAGGTGGGTATCTTAGTGTGATAAGTAATAACTAACAGTTTTTGTATATTAACCTTAAAATCCTAGTGCATGATCTTTAAATAAAATCCTGTATGAGGTATATTAATTATGCACACTTGTCATTATTCTTATAATGGCATATTTTTAATCTGGAGCTGCATATAAACTGTAATGTTAACTTATTTTTATTGCAACACGTAGACTGCAAAATTAAAATCTTTAATCTGAAATAGTGTACATTGACATATTTCAGGTAAAACATTCTGTAAAGTTAAATATTTTTTCTATTATGCTGTCCTTTTTTCTTTTCAATATAAAACTGTTTGTACATTCATAAAACTTTGAGATTTGGAAAGTTTAAAAAAAAAAGTAATTTTTGTCTTAATTTAGATGGCTGGCCATAAGATTAGAGTTCTGTGGTAATTGTATTGTCTTCTTTGCTGCATTGTTTGCTGTTCTTGGTCGAGACTCGTTGAGCCCAGGTGCTGTTGGTTTGTCTGTTAGTTATGCTCTGATGGTAAGTTTAAACTTTTTTAATTAAAAAATACCATTTTATAAGATGTCATAGACACCTTCATTACACTAACTTACTTCTACTATAAGCTGGACTACCAGTAAACTACACCTACTCACTTCTGCTATAAGCTGGTCTATCTGTAAACTACACCTACTCACTTCTGCTATAAGCTGGTCTATCTGTAAACTACACCTATGATCTTCTACTGTGATTCTATTAAATATGTATAGTGGGCATAGACGGAAGGTGATGCTATTGAACTTGTACAATGGGTGTAGATGGAAGGTGATGCTATTGAACTTGTACAATGGGTGTAGATGGAAGGTGATGCTATTAAATATGTATAGTGGGCATAGATGGAAGGTGATGCTATTAAATATGTATAGTGGGCATAGATGGAAGGTGATGCTATTAA